ACCGTTACGGATCCCTCGCTTTTATTTTCTTTATACAACATGGATTTCCTATGAGGTTTTTTTTGTTAATTCTTTGAGGTCTCTCTCTTTTTTTTTTTGTAATCTAAATTTCACGGTTAACAAGCAAATCTAATATACTGAAGTGAATTTATACCCGTGTCTTTGATTGACCTATATGTATGTTTTGCTAAAAGTTTTATTAAGCAATCAGTCTCTATGTTACAATTTTTTTTTTCTTTTGTAAAGGCTATGTTGCAAAATTTTGTAGAGATCGTTCTGTTTCAAACATAACAAAATACCATATACCATCTCCAACGCCTTCTATAATTCACTATAATAGAGTTTAAACTAAAAATGATCTAATATATAATAGAGAAAAATGAGTATTAAAGAAAAATTCAATCATATTATCGAATATTAAATTATCTACAATGGTAAAAACTTTCAACACCATACTTTTCATCTTTTAACACTCTACATCATCTTCTCTTTCTTTCATCTAATTATTCAACACCACTTCATTTTTCACCTCTACAATAATTTCGTTTAATAAAATTCAATACCCTACTCCACTATTTTTAATTCATTTTTAGTTTAATAACTATGTATAAATAATAATTCCGATTGTAATTATTTTCAAAATTAAATAATATATTAAGAATAATTCCTATTTTAATTAACTTAAAAATTAAATAACACAAATAACAAAAATTGTAATGAATTAGATTTTTTTTTATTGATATAGTTACTTTTACTTTTTAAAAATCTAAAAAATAGTTGATTATAATTTAAAAAATGAAGTTTTATTTTCCTGTATCCAAATAAAATGAAAGTAGACTATATTTATAGATTATAAAAATTATCAATTTTGAAACTTTATATTTTTTTTTCTAAATATTTTTATTATAAAAAAGATGAGTATGAATTATTGGGTGAGAATAAAAATAAAAGAAAATCTACCCAACCGATAAGAATAAAACATCTCTTGTCCAGATTTTAAAAAACAAATTCAGATAAAAGACCCCAATTAGATAGTGCCACATGACAAAGTGGACCACCAAAAAAATTGTTTCGACGGATTGAATAGTTTCAACACAGTTGAAGCCACATAATATTTTCCAAAAATTCAACATCCCCATTGTATATGGTCTTATATGAAAAATTAGGTGCATTAACTATAAAAAAAAACAAAATTTGCAAAGTAGTTAAAAAATCCAATTTGTTATTTTTCTTGGTTGTATGACAAATAAGCCCTTATTATATTTAGAGTTAAAAATATAATGAATTTTTGGAGATAATTTTAGACTCTATTTCCTTAGGTTTGATATGTCGTAAATTTCAAGTAATCGTTGTACCTTTTTTCAGCTGCTTCTACTTTAATTCTTATTAACGAAAATGAACACCATCTCGATTGTCATAAAAGATCCAAAAATCAAAGATAATATTTTCTCGATAAATTTCAGCGGAACCAAATTTTGTAAGCAAAAATAAAAAAAGAGAGAACGAAGTAAACAGTCGTGGTTGCTTTTATATCGTTGTCAACTTTGGGTTTGGTCATGCCCGGCCATGGATTTAGGGCCTTTTCAAGCCTCTTGTAAAAGCTATTTGGGCCACCAGTCGAGAAAGTACTCTCCGTATACTTTAGAGTAAAAGGTAAAAGGTAAATGTAAATGATTTACCTAACGACGTCGTTTTCTGGATTCTAATATCCGATAAACCCTAGAATTTTTCGTCGTCTCCCTCACTCCTCTTTCGTCTTCCTCCGTCTCTGAGCTAAAGAGACCGAAACTCTCAATGGCGGGTGAATCAGATGCATCGAACATCGCTACTCTCTCCTGTGCTCGTTGCGACAAGCCAGCGCTTCTTCAGTACGTAAATTACCAATCCTCATCCTCCTAATTTTACCTCCATCTTTCAATTTTCCAGATTAGTATCGATAACCGTTACTCCTCTATTAGCTTAGGGCATGAAAATCAATTGATACTTATGTTCAATTCGATTTCAAATGTTATTGATTGATTGATTCAAACGTTTCTTAAACCCTAATGTTGACAGGTGTCCGAAATGCATGGAATTGAAGCTTCCTCGCGAAGGAGCTTCGTTCTGGTAATGTCTCTCTTTAACCTTTTTGGTGAGCCTTTAACAACTTTTTTGTTTTTTCAAAGTTTTGATTTTTATTTTGTTTTTGTTGGTGATAGCACTCAAGACTGTTTCAAAGCAGCGTGGAGCTCACACAAATCAGTTCACGTGAAAGCTCAGCTGTCTTCAATTGCTAATTCCCTTCCTGGTGATCAGAACTCTGATTTAGTTTCTCAAGGTTGGCTTTATTGTGTGAGGAGAGGACAGGGTAGAACACCTAAGCTTCCTCACTTTGATTGGACTGGGTTCGTAATCCTCTGTTATTCTCTGTGTTCTTTCAAGATTGGTTGATTAGATATTGCATATGTTGTTACTTCTTGATTTTTGATTATTTTTATTTCTTCTTGCGTTTGTGTAGGCCGCTAAAGCAATATCTCATATCTCCTAAGCGTATTGTGCCTGCCGAGATTGAAAAACCTGACTGGGCTATTGATGTAAGTCCATATCACCTACATTTATGTTTCTCCTGGACCAGACACTTAATTACTACCAAGGCTGATTTGGCTCAAATTGATTTTAATAATGGAAACAATCATTTAGCTGTTAATGTTATGTAACAATTTGATTGACGTCCAGTGACTTGATCGTTTTCAACTATCCCATGTTATATGGTGCTGATAAATTTTCTTTCATTTTTTTTTTCACATCCAGGGGACTCCGAAAATTGAACCAAATAGCGACCTACAGCATGTTGTTGAGGTTAGTGTTCCTTTAATACATGAGGTTATGTTCATTAAGTTGTCTTGAATCCGGAACTTCGTATCACTTTGCTGATATTTTGTCTGCCTTCATTTGATACACATTTTTGTTGCGTACAGCTAACAAGGTTGTAATACTTGTGTTGTAGATAAAAACGCCTGAACAAATTCAGAGAATGCGCGAGACCTGTAAAGTTAGTGTTATTTTCGTTCCTTTTTTAATATCAGTTGTCTTCGTTTCCGTTATCTGATCCTTTGTCAAGGTCTCACTTGAATTGATTCTTCTATCAGATTGCTAGGGAGGTTTTGGATGCAGCCGCTAGGATGATTCGCCCTGGTGTGACAACTGATGAGATTGATCGAGTGGTTCATGAAGCAACTATTGCAGCAGGTTTGTAGTTTTCAGGTTATCATTTTGGAAGTTAATCGCTTAATTTCAGCAGAGCAGCACTATAACCGTTATTATATAATCTTTTGCTCTGGTAGGAGGATATCCATCACCTCTCAACTACTACTTCTTTCCAAAATCTTGCTGCACGTAGGTACTTCTATCGCATCTACATTTTTACCTCTACCAAGCAATTCCTCTACCTCCTAATGTGTATTCTTTGAATGTTCCCTTTCAGATCTGTTAATGAAGTGATTTGTCATGGAATTCCGGATGCTAGGTATACTTACTGACTGGAATCTTCAGAGCGTTTCTAACAAAATAGCGTAAAAGACCTAACAAATTTTATTCTAATGACTCTGTGTTTTAATTGCTTCAGGAAATTAGAAGATGGGGATATAGTAAATGTTGATGTAACAGTGTGCTATAAAGGTTGCCATGGTATGTTATCTCCTGAGAAAAAATTGATGAGTTTATCGTGATATTGGGCACCAATGGAGATATCGTGTCTCACAGTATGATTTATGGATAGGTGACCTTAATGAGACATACTTTGTTGGAAATGTTGACGAAGCATCACGTCAACTGGTTAAGTGCACATATGAGTGCCTGGAGAAGGCCATAGCAATTGGTAAGTGTTCTTAGTTTTGGTGTTTGGATTGTTAATATCTAATATATGCTGATAGTTTCTGTGTGTTTTTCTTTTTTTTTTCAGTTAAACCTGGCGTTAGATTCCGTGAAATCGGAGAGATAGTCAACCGTCATGCTACGATGTCTGGGTTATCAGTGGTAAAAGTCTAGCTCCTTTTTTTGTGTGTTTGATAGGATCTGATCGTAGAAATTTTATCTACTGTGTTAATAACGTGTGATGGTTAACAGGTGAGATCGTATTGTGGTCATGGAATTGGGGATCTCTTCCATTGCGCCCCAAACATTCCACACTATGCAAGTATCCTTTTGTGTCTTGGTAGACTTGGTTGAAGATCCAAAGAACGTTAGATTTTAGTACCTGAAATGTTAGTACCTGAAATGTTAGTCTATTACAGTGTAAATATCCTTAACCCCAAAATCAGGAAACAAAGCAGTTGGAGTGATGAAAGCAGGTCAGACTTTCACAATTGAGCCAATGATCAACGCCGGTGAGTTTTGTTTCTCATTCGCTAGATTTTTAAAAGTTCTACTTACTCCCTAGTTAGTGAGTTGAGTTCTAAAGCGTAAGGACATTGTCATGATAGGGTCGTGGCGGGATCGAACATGGCCTGATGGATGGACCGCAGTTACCGCAGATGGAAAACGCAGTGCTCAGTTTGAGCATACTCTCTTGGTAAAAACTTGTAGAAAAACCTTTAAAATGTGAATAGAAAGGAACGAGATTCTGTATTGTTGCTCAGAGGTAAATCATATGCAACTTTTTGCAGGTAACTGAGACAGGTGTTGAGGTTCTAACGGCGAGGCTTCCTTCATCACCAGATGTATTCCCTTGGCTTAAGAAGTGATTGAAGCGTATGGTTTGGTTCATAATCTTTGGGATAATTCATCTTTTTGCTATTGAAGACACCATGTGTTGTTGCCTTTGTCTTTGTTTATGTAACTTTATGCAGAAACAATCTGTGCCAGTGTTTTGATTGAAATGTAAGGAACCTACCTATATTTATGATGAATCGAAAGATGATACACTTTCAAATTTTTGTCTCTAAACAAATTATTATTGAGTTTTTTGGGATTAAAAGTTAAAATCTAAACATGGACCTGAAATTAGGCTTATTACCTTTTTCCTTATATCAATAGATTTTTCTTGATTGGGAAATAAACATCTTGTTTTGCTCATGCGTTCTGACCAGTTACATTTAGGCTTACTGAAATCATAATTTATAACAAGTAGACAACAAAAGTTGCACAACATAGTGGGAAGTCTTAAGACAATTGTTCAGATACAAGTAAAACCTCCTTTCATTCAACGACCTTCACACCTGAAACATAAACTCGGCTTTGAACCACACTTCCACCAATCCAAAACCCAGGCATCACCATAAGCCCAACTCTTGGACTCTCTCCCTTTTCATCCACAACTATGTTCTTCAAAACACTCTCCATGTATGAATCAGAGAACTCACTTCCCTTTTTCACCTGGAAGATCTTTGCAGCTGGATCAAAAGAGTAAGCCAGCCTATGCAAGATCCACACCGACTTCGCTAGCTTCAAGAAAGCCTGGTAAAACCCAGTCCTCGGGTGCCCACCTCCTGCCACGTAGTCACGCTGGTCCAAGTTTCCAAAGAAAGAAGCTTCCATCTTTGGGTGGATCAAGATGAGATACTTGCTCCTGCAGAACTTACCAAAGTTGGAATCAGCGTTTGTACACAGAGCATCTAACGGATCCATGTCCTTTAGAGACAAAAACTGACGGAAGAATGTCTCAGTGTCATCATCATCGGCCTCCGCCATTGCACTCTCCGAGGAGAAATCTTTATGCTGAAAACCACTGAACATCCTCTGACATATATACGACTCAAACGCATACTTCTTGTGAGGCCTCTTGGCGTAAGCCACATCAGGCTCAATGGACTCAGCTGCAGAGTCAAGATCCCACCCCGCAGCTTTCATCATATTGATCAACGGCTTGGAGAAATCATGAACAGCTTTAGAAGCAGCTTCATAGGTAGACATAAAGAGCTCAACGTTCAAATCAGGAAACTCCATACTCCCACCATCTTCGTTTGAGGAAGACATTCCTCTCAACTTAAGATTCTTCTCAAGCTTAACACGCTTCTGATTCGCTTCCTCGATCTTCTCCAACATCTGAGTGATCTCAGAGTCCTTGTTCTGTATCTCAGACTGAAACTTCTTCACCATAACCTCATAAGTCTTCAGCAAACTCTGCTGCTCTTGAATCTCTGCAGCTAAGCGAGAGTCTTGTGGAGAGACACACACAGGCTTGGGGTTGTTCTCTCTGTAAAAATGCTTCAGTTCAGAGAGATTCTTGAGTTCGGAGATCACAACCTTGTCGGCTTCCTGAATCTTGTCAGGGTCGTAAGGAGTGTGAGCAGATTGAAGCTGGATGTAAGCAGATTTCAAAGAAGAGATGTTTCCAAAGAGATTGGAGATGAGAGCTTCCATAGCTTCAGGGTTTTGGTTGATAGATTGTTGTTGTTCCATTGGTTGAGGATGAACCTTCTGGTTGTTATTGTTGTTGTTGAGTTGGGTTTCTTTCAACCCACTAGGTTGCATACTTGAAACCTACCAAATTTTTTTAAAAAATTGAATCTTTCTAATCTCAGACAAAACTCTCCTGCAAGTAAAAACAAAAAATTGTCGTTTTTTATTATTTTTTAATCTTAGAATCTCAGACAAAACCCATCTAGTCTTGTCTTAGATCTCGAAGTGAATCTATGAAAATCCGGATCTTGTTGAATCTCAGAAGCTATGGAGAATGTGTAGGCATCAAACCCTAAAAACATCACTATTCAGAGACAATAAGGGAGTTTTGGAGTTGAATACACTTACAATCAGCTTTCACGCCAAGTATGTGGAGGAAGACGTAACCATCAAGCTCAAGGCAGATTTATTCGCCGGAAAATTTAGCCGGAGGTGAAGAGAGAAATGAATGATTGCTTTTGTATATGGAAAGGAAGGAAAGAAAACGAAATGGTGGAGAAGATCGAGGAAGCGAATCAGAAGCGACGTAACCCCTTTCCCTGTTTCTTTGAGAGGGAGGAACGGCGTCGTACAGATAAAGGAGGAACGGCGTCGTTTTGTAATAAACGCGCTGCTTCCTAAAATCAAACAGATACCAAAGGTTACTTATTACTAAGTTGAGCGCGTTAGGTGATTTCACAAGGTGGTGCGAGTGGGCAAGTTTAAAAAGTGAATTTGAGTTATTAAATTTAGTTTTTTTTCAAAAAACATTTTTTTACCCACAATTAGTTTGTTAAAATCTATTAGTTGAAAACTGTATTTATAAGTTTTGAACATTTTGAAGTTTTTAAAAATGTTGATCTAGGAAGGACCAAACTATTTTTTTTAATTGACGTCGTGTTGTTTTCTGTGTATCAGTAGAAACTGCATGTTGTTTAAGATATGTTTGACATCTTGAAGTTTATCTGGGCTGAAATATATTACATACGGACCATTTTATATATAAAATGGGCTTACATTTATCGATGAATGATATACCGAAGTGAGACATACAACATCAGTGGCACAACAATTAATGCGTAGCCATAGATGCCAAATTTATATATAGTTCACATATAGTGAAGATTTCTGAATCATACTAATCAAAGATTAGGAAAAAACAACAAAAAAAGAAGAAGAAAATGATGCGAATAAGAGTTGAGAACAATGCGAATAAGGATTTTATTAGTTGTTAAAATAAATAAAAATCTCTTCCTCTGCCATTGCTTCTTCCACCACCAATTTTGTTCCTAGATCTAGGCTCATCAAAAACGATAGTTCAAAGGCATTTTCTCTGCTGTAAAAAACAAAATTTAATTGGCATTCACTAACTGGTAACAAAGTAGAAGCTGAAAGACAAATAATTAACCAAGGAAAGGTCTACCGTGAAATTGCAGTGCCTTTTAATTACAAATGGGTTAAACCCGCAATAGACCTATCTAATCTTGTCTAGATCTCGAAGTGAATCATCATTATTTCGATAAGATATGGGATCTTGTGGACTACGAATGTAATTGGTTTAGAACATACATACCAGATTAGCGGTTTTGATTATGTTCCAGTGACGGTTAGATTGGCTATGTTCAATTATTTCAGTTTATGTCATCCCAGTTTAGTTATGTTCACTCGTATCACCGTCTAACTAAATTTATAGGTTTTCATATTTTCAATTTGATAGTTTCGATTATTTATCTTTTATGCAGTTGTTAATGAAATTTTGCAAAACTCGAGGGACCGTTGGTTAACGGCAGCTGAATGGGACATCATCTTCACTGAAGCTGCTCGTTTCCATGTCAATCTGGTCAAATAAACGAAAAAATTAATATAAATCAATATTCTTTTAGTCATAAACTTTTGAGACTAATCTATTTCTAAAATACAGATTCATAATCCAACCCTCATACCTAACGACAATGCTTGACATAAATGATTGGGAAATTTCCAGCCGTAAAAAGACAATAACACATCTACATCCTTTCAAAAAACCAACATTTCCCACTCGCAAGCAATGAATGCACAAGCAATGAACATAAACACAAGTTGGGATAATATTTCAGTTTGTGTCATCCCAGTTTAGTTATGTTCACTCGTAAACACTATAATAAAAAGTCAATAATTTCTTACTTTCTTAACTAAGATACTATTTAAGATAATATTTATTACCCTCCTTAAAGTTACTAATAAAAATTCAATACTTTCTTTGTTTGTTTTCAATCTCTTTTTAAATGTTTACCTGACGTTAAACCTTGCGTACGGACCATCTGAGAGTGTTCTTTTTAAGCTAGAAATTTCCCATTGATTCAAGTCAATCTTTGACCTGTTATCAACCCTCCAAACTCCTTCAGTGTGTTTAGGAATGAACAAGGCGTTGTAAATCTACAATTTTAAATAGAATAGCAGTTTTACCTGGAAACGACAATGAAGAAGTGTGGAGGGTGGATAAAAGTCAATGATAATGATAATGGTTATTAGCATTTACCTGATGTTAAACATAGCATGTGGACCATCTGACATTGTTCTTTTCTGACTTGAAATGTCCCATTGATTGAGATCAAGCGTTGATTTGGTATCAATCCTCCAAACACCTTCCTCATTTTTTGGAATGAGTAACGCATTATAAATCTGCAAATAGATTAGAAAGTTAATGAATATAAAAAGCTTGAGTTAATATTATTTGTTTTTCGTTTTTTTTAGCAACCTGGAATCAGTTCTTCTCGATGAAAAGCAAGTCCCATTCAGCAGATGTCAGCCATCGCTCTCTTAAAGTTTGCAGGATGTGATTCACAACTAGAATCGAAATTAAATTGAATCGTAACATGAATCATAGAATCATAACTTGAATAAATAAAATCCTAAAAAGTAGTCTCTACATGTGAACTTATCATAGCTTCATAACTTGAATCGCAAATCGAAATCGAAATAAAATCCTAAAAAGTAGTCTCTACATGTGAACTTATCATAGCTTCATAACTTGAATCGCAAATCGAAATCTGAAACTTTACTATAACTTCATAACTTGAATTGAAAATCGGAATCTGAAAACCTACCTGCGTCTCCGAAGACAATATCCTGGAGGTTCTCCGCCGCTTCGTTAATTTGTCCGCCGTTCATCTTCGTGTGTTTGAACTTTTTTTTGAGTGCTCAGAAGTGAGATCTGTAGAGTGAAAATATATGTGTTTGAACAGATATATACTTAATAGGTCCAAAACTGAATAGGCCTAAAAAAATAGAAAACTTAGACTTGTGTTGCAATTTGCATTGTGTTTAGAATTATATTTTATCGATGAATGTGTTAAAAAAAAATATTTTATCGATAAATGATATACCGAAGTGAGAAATACAACACCAGTGGCATAACAATTAATGCGTAGCCATAGATGCCAAATTTATATATAGTTCACATATAGTGAAGATTTCTGAATCTTGCGAGTAATAGCATCTCCATCACAGAGATTGGTCTTTTTTTTATATTTTAATCTCCGACAAAACCAATATAATCTTGTCTAGATGTCGAAGTGAATCATCACTTTCGATATGAAAATCTGGATCTTGTTGACTAAGAAGCTATGAAGAATGTGGAGATAGACATCAAAACCTAAACATCACTTACATTCAGAGACAATAACAAGTTTTGGTTTAGCCAAGTACGTGGAGGAAGACGTAACCATCAAGTTCCGACTCGCCGTGGTTTAGACTAAGCCGAACCTTGAGTCGGTTCAATTTTTTTCAGTTTGTTACAAATAAACCGGACTTACGATTTTGATTATGTTTCAAATGGCCAGTTTGATTGAGATTAAACCGGATCGGGCATTTCTCCAGTCCAAACCGTAATCCATCTTCTCCACATTGTTTTTTGTCTCTCTCTATCTCGTGTGGGGTGAAATGGTTCGGCTGTTTCTTACACTTTCTCCGGCGATTTCCCGATTGAGTTTCCTAGCTGCTGCGTCACCTTCTCTCAACAGATTACAAAGACACCATTTTGATAAGCTAAAACCCAAAATCTCGCTTATCTCTCCTTCCTCCTCTGCATCCAATTTTCAGAGGACAGGTTCTTCTTGTTCTACAAGAACAATTAGAGTTTCCTCCTCACTACCCAAAAGCGAAAGTTCGAAACTTGATGATGGTTTGATTGTTCTAGGCATTGAGACGAGCTGCGACGACACTGCCGCTGCTGTCGTAAGCCCATTTGGTCTCTCTTTCTCTCTCTCTTTGTTTGGGAACTTATAAGTCCACTGATGTTGGAACCTTTGGTTGTTTAGGTGAGAGGGAATGGTGAAATTCTTAGTCAAGTCATTTCTTCTCAGGTAAAAATCATTTCTCTGCTTAATAATGTTAAAGAGTGTTATGTTTCTGATCACTACGAGACACAGTTTCGTCCCTGTATAAAAGTCTTTTCTTTATATAAATTTGTCTAAGTTTGATTTCGGAATTGTTGACATTTTAAAGGCGGAACTGCTAGCCCAATATGGAGGCGTGGCTCCCAAACAAGCTGAAGAAGCACACTCTCGGGTTATTGATAAGGTAAAAACACTATACTAGACTCTTTTCTCATTGCAAATCATGTATACTAGTTTCTTTTTCTTGACTACTTTTTTTGGGGAAGAAGATAATATGTGTGTGTATATTCATTGGTTTTAGGTTGTGCAAGACGCACTAGATAAATCAAATTTGACAGAGAAGGATCTCTCTGCTGTTGCTGTTACCATTGGACCTGGTTTGGGCCTCTGTCTACGCGGTAAGTTTCAGAAGAAAAAAGTATCTACTCCTCTTCTTTGATATAGAAAGTGTTGTCATAGAACTAAGATATAAAGTGTTTCTTTCTTTCTTCTGATTCATACAGTTGGTGTGCAGAAGGCTCGAAGAGTCGCTGGTGCTTTTAATCTCCCAATCGTCGGAGTGCATCACATGGAGGCTCATGCCCTTGTAGCCAGGTAATGTGCTAGCTTTACATTCAACCTTGAGATTTTTTTAAACTTCTCATCAGCTTTTGATTTGTCTTTGTAGACTAGTGGAACATGAACTAAGCTTTCCTTTCATGGCATTGCTTATATCAGGTAATGCATTAGTAGAAGGATAACAATAACTAAAGGGAGCTTTAGGTTTCTACTAGAAGTAATGTTTTTTAAAACTGTGTAGGAGGGCATAATATTATAGTTCTTGCTCATAAGCTTGGTCAGTACACACAACTCGGGACTACAGTAGATGATGCTATAGGAGAGGCGTTTGACAAGACAGCAAAATGGCTTGGTCTTGATTTGCGCAGAAGTGGTGGACCAGCTGTTGAAGAACTTGCTCTTGAGGGTGATTCAAACTCTGTTAAGTTTAATGTAAGTGAAACTAGTTTCGCTGCTCTTTCCTTGTTTCTACTCCATTGTCCGCATCATGTATTATGTTATGTTGTTGTTAACACTTGTTTATCATCAGGTTCCAATGAAAAATCATAAAGATTGTAACTTCTCTTATGCTGGTTTGAAAACGCAAGTTAGGCTAGCCATTGAAGCCAGAGAAATGTAACCTTTGATAATACTTAGATCTTAAAATCAGCTTCTAAAGTTGTTAACTTGTGAAGTATTTTTTTTTGATGGATGTGTAGTGATGGTCAATGTCCTGTTTCTTCTGCAACAAAGGAAGACAGAAGAAACAGAGCTGATATTGCTGCTTCTTTCCAGGTACANACGCAAGTTAGGCTAGCCATTGAAGCCAGAGAAATGTAACCTTTGATAATACTTAGATCTTAAAATCAGCTTCTAAAGTTGTTAACTTGTGAAGTATTTTTTTTTGATGGATGTGTAGTGATGGTCAATGTCCTGTTTCTTCTGCAACAAAGGAAGACAGAAGAAACAGAGCTGATATTGCTGCTTCTTTCCAGGTACACATCATCAATATGTGGTCTCACAGAATGCTTTTGTTCTTGTAATAAACTGATTATCTAAACATGTCTTCACCAGAGAGTAGCTGTGTTGCATCTGGAGGAAAAGTGTGAGCGAGCAATAGAATGGGCACTGAAACTCGAGCCTTCTATTAAACATATGGTGAGAAACTCAAATATGAAGAAACAAAACCTCTGTTTTGCACTTGTCGACTAAACTTGGCTTTTATATTCTTTGATCTTCAGGTAGTATCTGGTGGTGTTGCCTCAAACCAGTATGTACGGTTTCGACTCAACAACATTGTCGAAAACAAAAACCTGAAACTTGTCTGCCCTCCTCCTAACCTCTGCACAGACAATGGTATCTATAGAGTTCTTGAGATTTGTCCTTGCTTGTCAAAACAGAGAATAGAAATTAACAATTCTGTAATCTCTCTCTCAGGAGTAATGGTGGCTTGGACTGGTCTCGAGCATTTTCGTGTGGGAAGATTCGATCCACCTCCACCTGCAATAGAACCTGATGATTTCGTGGTACGTTCTATAACCAAAGCTCAATACTTATATAGTTGAAAGACTCTCTTTAACTTTGTGTGTTGTGAATATAGTATGATCTTCGACCAAGGTGGCCTCTAGGAGAGGAGTACGCACAAGGAAGAAGCGAAGCTCGTTCTATGAAAACCGCACGTGTTCATCCCTCTCTTACTTCAATCATCCGTGCAGATTCTCTTCAACAACAAACACAAACATAGCTATAAATGTTGTAACTGCAAAAAAAAAAACGAACTTAACCAACTCTTATTTGCAACAAACCGCTTTTCCGGTTAATTATTAAATTGATCAGTAAACCAATGGTTATTCTAAACCGTATTTCGATTTTACTTTTAATGGCGCCAACATTAACGCTGAGGCTGTCGTCTTCGACGGAAATGATTTTCCGGTTGATTAATTAAATTAATTTCAGTAAACCAACGGTTTATCTTAAATCCGGTTAATCCAAACCGTATCCGGTTTGATTTTGCTTATCAATGGCGCCAACACTCGCTTAAGGCGACGAAAATCGCCGGCGATTGAAGAGACCTTCACTCATGGAGACGTCGAGGCTACCGTTGTCGTCTTCGATTAGAGGAAAGCTGATATCCGCCGGGTATACATCTCTGTCGTCGATTTCATCCGTCTCCTCCACCGATCTCGCTCGAGGTGTGATTCTCTTCTTAATAGTATCGAGGTTTTTAGGTCACACTGGAATCGATTGAGAGAGAGATCTTGAATCCTTTAATGGTTGTTATACTTCTCTGTTTGGTGTTGTGAACAGATGTAAACATCACAGAGAGTGAAGCATTTGAGATTTTGAAGATGGCAAATCAAGTCACTTGCAGTGGAAGCTCTTCCCTCATTAATGGTAAAGTTTGTGTTGAATCACTTGGAGAGCTATTGGTTGGGTTAGGTTTCACTGATTTTTGAAAATTTTGGTAACTAAAACAAGGGGCAAAGAATGCTTGGGATATGCTTAATGAGGAGGAAGCTTTGCCACACATTACTACTTCTTGTTCTGATCTTGATAAGATATTGGGTGGTGGAATAAGCTGTAGTGATGTTACAGAGATTGGTAAGCTATATCTTCATCACAAAACATTGGCAGAAACAAGTAGTTTCTAATCTTTGTGTATTCTCTGCAGGTGGTGTTCCGGGTATTGGCAAGACTCAGATTGGGTAAAAAAACGTCTCCTGTGCTTTCTTCATTGGTCTTTATACTTTGGTTATTAACTTGGATCTTGAACCAGGATCCAGCTCTCTGTGAATGTTCAGATTCCTCGTGAGTTTGGTGGTCTTGGAGGGAAAGCGATATACATTGGTATGTTTCTTTGGTTATGACTTGGTTAGTCTCTTCTTTTATTGTTGATACCGAGCTTTTGTGTGCTTACAGATACTGAAGGTAGCTTCATGGTGGAGCGTGCTTTACAGATAGCAGAAGCTTGTGTGGAGGACATGGAAGAATACACTGGATACATGCACAAACATTTTAAAGCAAGTCAAGTGCAAATGAAACCCAAAGATATCTTAGAGAACATATTCTACTTCCGTGTTTGCAGTTACACTGAGCAGATCGCATTGGTCAATCATCTTGACAAGTTCATCTCTGAAAACAAAGATGTAGGTGAAAGACTTTTAGTTCGTAATCTAATTTTCATGATATTTAACTCGTTATCATTTATGATTGCAGGTTAAAGTGGTAATCGTAGACAGTATCACGTTTCATTTCCGTCAGGACTTTGATGACTTAGCCCAGAGGACACGAGTGCTTAGTGAAATGGCTTTGAAGTTTATGAAGCTTGCCAAAAAGTTCTCACTTGCTGTAAGGATTACTATACTTCCCTCACTTAGAATGGAAGCTTAAGATATGTGCAGGTCACAAATCAGATCCATAATTAACTCTTTTGCTCCATTCTCAGGTTGTGTTATTAAACCAGGTGACCACAAAGTACACCGAAGGCTCGTTTCAGTTAGCTCTTGCGTTAGGTGACCAAACTCAGATCAAACCATCTATATTTGTTAATTATCATCATCATTCTGTTTTTTTTTTTATGAGCAACTTATCATCATCATTCATTTGTTATGATTCTTAATGTTTTCCACCTTATGCTATCTCTCAGGTGATAGCTGGTCTCATTCGTGCACCAACCGAGTGATTCTGTATTGGAACGGTGATGAGCGTTATGCGTATATCGACAAGTCGCCTTCACTTCCTTCAGCTTCCGCCTCATACACTGTAACTAGTAGAGGTCTAAGAAACTCCTCATCAAGCAGCAAGCGTGTCAAGATGATGTGAAGACACAACACAAGACAATCACATGAGTAGGCTTTCAACGGTTTATTTTTCTGCGTGTCAAGTTGATTTAAAGACACAATACAAGCACATGAGTAAGCTCTCTACGGTTTAATTTGCAGCGTGTCAAGATGATGTGAAGACACAACACAAGCACATGAGTAAGCTTTCTACGGTTTAGTTTTGATTTTCGTTGAAGAGACTGGTTTGTCCGGTCAAATCCAAAACCGGTACAAGAGTTGGTGGATTAGTGACTAATAATAAAATATTATTCCTTAATCTAAAGCAATTATATTCTTCACCAACCCCTCTCATGAACATGGCTATTGCTTTACGCACCAACTCATGTCGCACCTATTCTCTTATTGACTTTAAGAACCAAAAAAATATTGTTGAAACTTGAAAGGCGTAGAGGGATCAACGAACAAGACTGTTCTTTTTGAATCTAAAGGTCAGATTTTCTTTAGCTTGATTTGTCCTTTAACTAACACGAGAAGTTGGCGGGATCTGATTGGTTTTCTCTCTCTCACTCTCAATATAAAACTGCAGAGAAGCATTAGTCTCGATCTCATTCTCTCTCGGTTAACCAGCAGAGAGCATCCATGGCTTCTACTTCTTCTCTAGCGCTCTCTCAAGCTCTCCTTTCTCGAGCCATCTCTCACAATGGATCAGAAAACCAGATCGCTTTACCATCTTTCTCTGTTCTCAAATCCACTTCTCCACGCACCACTACCTTCTTCCACTGTCAACGCAGTGCCTCCACTAACAGTCACTCTCTCCGTCCTCTTGTCCGTGCATCCGCCGTAGAGACAACGGACACAACAACAGATTCAACCCTGGTTGATAAATCGGTTAATACGATCAGGTTTCTAGCGATAGATGCAGTTGAGAAGGCTAAATCTGGTCATCCTGGTCTCCCAATGGGTTGTGCTCCTATGTCTCACATCTTGTACGATGAAGTCATGAGGTATAACCCCAAGAACCCTTACTGGTTCAACCGTGACCGCTTCGTTCTCTCCGCTGGACATGGATGCATGTTGCAATACGCTTTGCTTCACCTCGCTGGCTACGACAGCGTCAGGGTTTGTCATCTCTTCTCACTCTATTGCTTTATATTATTCTGTAGAAAGAAAGAATATCTGAGCGTTTGGATTTGTTTTATTAGGAGGAAGATTTAAAGAGCTTCCGTCAATGGGGAAGTAAGACGCCTGGACACCCTGAGAACTTCGAGACTCCTGGTGTTGAAGTCACTACTGGTTTGTGTTTCAGTTCTTGTCAGTCACAGAAGCGTCCCCTTCTCTGTCTAATGTTCAATGTTTGCAGGTCCTCTTGGACAAGGGATTGCAAATGCTGTTGGTTTAGCTCTTGCTGAGAAACATCTAGCTGCTAGATTCAACAAACATGACAATGAAATCGTTGACCACTACACGTAATGATATTGAATGAATCCTACTGTTTGGTTTTCTTGATTTGTGTGTTTGGTTTCTAATGTTGTGTGTTTTGGTTCTTTAGTTATTCGATTATTGGAGATGGTTGTCAGATGGAAGGGATAACAAACGAAGTCTGCTCTCTAGCTGCCCACTGGGGACTTGGGAAGCTCATTGCTTTCTATGATGACAATCACATTTCTATTGATGGAGACACAGAGATCGCCTTTACAGAGAACGTGGACAAGCGCTTTGAAGCTCTTGGATGGCATGTTATTTGGGTTAAGAATGGTAACAATGGATATGATGAGATCCGTGCTGCCATTAAAGAAGCTAAGGCTGTAACAGACAAGCCCACTTTGATTAAGGTAACTACTACAATTGGTTATGGATCTCCCAATAAGGCAAATTCATACAGTGTCCACGGAGCTGCTCTTGGTGAGAAGGAAGTTGAGGCTACTAGAAATAACCTTGGATGGTCATATGAGCCGTTCCAAGTACCCGAGGATGTTAAAAGGTAACTGGAGGTTTAACTAAACTTCTGTTTTATGTTTGTGTTATGATGACCTGCTTTGGTTATATACTGTAACTCTTAAATTCTCTAGCCACTGGAGCCGTCACACCCCTGAGGGAGCCGCTCTTGAAGCTGATTGGAATGCCAAGTTTGCAGCTTATGAGAAGAAGTATCCAGAGGAAGCAGAAGAGTTGAAGTCTATTATCTCAGGTGACTTGCCTACCGGTTGGGAGAAAGCACTTCCTGTAAGTATCAACTTTCTCATAATCTCTATTGGTGTTATGGAGATGGCTCTTATTTATGAAAACATTTTTCAGACATACACACCAGAGTCTCCAGGTGATGCCACAAGAAACCTGTCTCAGCAATGTCTTAACGCCCTTGCCAAAGCCGTTCCCGGTTTCCTTGGAGGAAGTGCTGATCTCGCATCTTCCAACATGACTTTACTTAAAGCCTTTGGAGACTTCCAAAACGCTACACCTGAAGGAAGAAACCTTAGGTTTGGTGTTAGGGAACACGGTATGGGAGCTATCTGCAACGGTGTTGCCCTCCACAGCCCTGGTTTCATCCCGTACTGCGCAACTTTCTTTGTTTTCACTGACTACATGAGAGCTGCGATGAGAATCTCTGCCTTGTCTGAAGCTGGTGTTATATACGTTATGACACATGACTCCATTGGTCTCGGAGAAGATGGACCAACTCACCAGCCTGTGGAACACTTGTCCAGCTTCCGTGCCATGCCTAATATCATGATGTTCCGTCCTGCTGATGGGAACGAAACAGCCGGTGCGTATAAAATCGCTGTGACTAGAAGGAACACACCTTCTGTTTTAGCCTTGTCTAGACAAAAGCTTCCTCAACTCCCAGGAACGTCTATTGAAAACGTTGAGAGAGGTGGATACACCATTTCTGATAACTCAACCGGTAACAAACCCGATGTGATCTTGATTGGAACTGGTTCGGAGCTAGAGATTGCTGCTCAAGCTGGAGAGGAGTTAAGGAAGGAAGGAAAGACTGTTAGAGTCGTTTCTTTTGTGTGTTGGGAGCTCTTTGATGAGCAAACGGATGAATACAAGGAAAGCGTGTTGCCATCAGAGGTGTCAGCTAGAGTCAGTATTGAAGCTGGGTCGACATTTGGATGGGGGAAGATTGTTGGAGGGAGAGGAAAATCGATTGGGATTGATTCGTTTGGAGCAAGTGCACCAGCAGGGAAGCTTTATAAAGAGTTTGGTATCACTGTTGAAGCTGTGGTTGCAGCAGCTAAGTCACTTATCTAAAAAAGAGTATTAAGGGTTGAAGTAAGAGAGGTTTCTTCCATAAGCATTGTCTTTCTTTCTTCAAGTAGCAAAAAAAGTTTGTTTCTGAGATAAGTTACGTTTGTAACTGAAAACATGAACACATAATAATTACTAATACCATTGGCAAGTGATGAAATCTTTTCTACTTTGAAGCTTTTTCTACTTTTAACAAAAGCGTTTGGTTTAGGGAAAGAAGAATTAGGTATATTCCCATTTAAAGACAACACAGATCCTCAAGCTCGCTCAAAGTCTCGCCTACCAAAACTTAAAAAATTCCCCACTTCCTGTCTGAAATAGCTGACATGGAATCGATAATTGAGACGTGGCAGATTGTAATTGGCTACAGAACATACTCTCACAAAATCTATGAATCGTAGAGGTTGGGGTTGGTGAATGATTTGATGGTTGCCTCTCCTCGCAAAACTTAACTCCTGTTATGCTTATGTTTTTGTAATAAAGCCGCCAACACAACAAAGACGACAACAATTTTATAAAATCCGACTCTTTCTAATTTGATCATCAGTGCAACTCTAATGGCGCAAGCAAGCAGAATCATCCACCATAGCGTTCAGAACCCACGTGTTGTAATCTCCAATCTCTCCAAATCAAACCAACGAAAATCTCCACCACCATCATCATCAGTCTCGATGAAGACACATCAGATTGCTTCGTGGGGAATGAACAAGAGTGGTATGCCGCTAAACCGTCCGGTTAAAGTAACAGCTTCCGTTTCCACGGCTGAGAAAGCTTCTGAGATTGTGCTTCAACCCATTAAAGAAATCTCGGGTCTCATCAAACTACCCGGATCCAAATCTCTCTCCAATCGGATCCTCCTTCTCGCCGCTCTATCTGAGGTTTTTTTATATATTTGCTTTCACAAAGTTTGAATCTTTTAGCTTGAGACTGAATAAAGTTTCCTTCTTTTTTTATTCTTTTTTAATATTTAATTTTTTTAGGGAACTACTGTAGTTGACAACTTGTTGAACAGTGATGACATCAACTACATGCTTGACGCCTTGAACAAGTTAGGGCTTAACGTGGAGCGTGACAGTGTAAACAACCGTGCTGTTGTTGAAGGATGTGGAGGAATATTCCCTGTTTCTTTAGATTCCAAGAGTGATATTGAGTTGTACCTTGGGAATGCAGGAACAGCTATGCGTCCTCTTACTGCTGCTGGTGGCAAAGCTAGGTAAGGTTAAAGGAGTTATGTTATGTTTATGTCAAATAATAGATTTTGTGTTGATGTGTTTTAGTTTTTTAGTTATGTGCTTGATGGTGTGCCTCGGATGAGGGAAAGACCTATAGGAGATTTGGTGGTTGGTCTCAAGCAGCTTGGTGCTGATGTTGAATGTACTCTTGGAACTAACTGTCCTCCTGTTCGTGTCAATGCTAATGGTGGTCTTCCCGGTGGAAAGGTGATGATTAGCCTTTCTTTCTTTCTTGATTCGTTTGTATGATTACTTGGTTTGACATATTAGATATGTTTTGAATTTGTCAGGTGAAGCTTTCTGGATCAATCAGTAGTCAGTACTTGACTGCACTGCTCATGGCAGCTCCTTTAGCTCTTGGAGACGTGGAGATTGAGATCGTTGATAAACTGATTTCGGTTCCGTATGTTGAAATGACATTGAGGTTGATGGAAAGGTTTGGTGTTAGTGCCGAGCATAATGATAGCTGGGATCGTTTCTTTGTCAAGGGCGGTCAGAAATACAAGTATGAGTGTTGTTTCTTTCTTTCTTTAGTATTAGATTGATACAAGAATGATTGATCAAATTGCAAAAAAAAAAATTGATTCAGGTCGCCTGGTAATGCTTACGTAGAAGGTGATGCTTCTAGTGCTAGCTATTTCTTAGCTGGTGCTGCCATTACAGGTGAAACAGTCACTGTTGAAGGTTGTGGAACAACTAGCCTGCAGGTAGATTCTCTCCACTCTGAGAGTTTATAGTGAAATTTGATAAGCTTTAAGTGTGTGAATATCTAAGCTCAGCTTCTTTTGTGTGATGAATCTCAAAGGGAGATGTGAAATTCGCAGAGGTTCTTGAGAAAATGGGGTGTAAAGTGTCATGGACAGAGAACAGTGTGACTGTGACAGGACCATCTAGAGATGCTTTTGGAATGAGACACTTGCGAGCTGTTGATGTCAACATGAACAAAATGCCTGATGTAGCCATGACTCTTGCTGTTGTTGCTCTCTTTGCCGATGGTCCAACCACCATTAGAGATGGTANGCAGAGGTTCTTGAGAAAATGGGGTGTAAAGTGTCATGGACAGAGAACAGTGTGACTGTGACAGGACCATCTAGAGATGCTTTTGGAATGAGACACTTGCGAGCTGTTGATGTCAACATGAACAAAATGCCTGATGTAGCCATGACTCTTGCTGTTGTTGCTCTCTTTGCCGATGGTCCAACCACCATTAGAGATGGTAGAGTTAACTCTCTCCCTTTGAAAAATGCCTTCTCTAGATAGACTCATAGGCACTTTATTCTATTTGGTGAAAATGTAGTGGCTAGCTGGAGAGTTAAGGAGACAGAAAGAATGATTGCCATTTGCACAGAGCTTCGAAAGGTTAGTTTACTTTCTCTCTCGCTCTATTTATAAGTAAATCATTGCATAAATTTTGCGTTTTGTTGTTGTTGTTGTTGTTGTTGCATTTAGCTTGGAGCTACAGTGGAAGAAGGTTCAGATTATTGTGTGATAACTCCACCAGCAAAGGTGAAACCAGCGGAGATTGATACATATGATGATCATAGAATGGCAATGGCAGTCTCTCTTGCAGCTTGTGCTGATGTTCCAGTGACTATCAAGGATCCTGGTTGCACCAGGAAGACTTTCCCTGACTACTTCCAAGTCCTTGAAAGTATCACAAAGCATTAAAAAGACACTTTCCCTTTGATCAAATTGTAACCTTATTAGAAGAACAAAGAGGATTAAGATTGTTTGCTTGTAATCTCTGCATCGGTTTGGGCCTTAATATAAAGATGGTGTAGTATCTTCCTTCCAGAACTTTAACCGGAAACGGGAGAAATGAATGGTTCCGATGTTAGCAGATTAAGCTGTCCACGTCACCACAAATAATCAACATGTATGCCGTTTTTTCAAATCATTTACTGTATTGCATGTTGTTTTATTTTAGGCTAATGTTTTCTTTTTTTGGGTGGGATTTACTTCTCATAAAGTTAAACAATCGCCGTTAGGCATTGTTTCCAGATTCTTTGTTGCCTCTAAACGGTTCCCATTCCGGCAAGTCAGTTTTACATATTCAATTTATCTGATTCTTCTTTCGACGAAACGCCTCATCGTCAATTAACCCTTCCTAGATCCTCCTATATATATGGTGGGTTCTCATTTGTCTTTATAATTTTTTCGATCCTCTGCGACGCCGAGATCGTTGTCATCGTCTTCTCCAGCACCGGCAAAGTTTACGATTTCACTAGCAGAAGGTAAAACGATGATTATTTTAATGAAATGGGTTCATTGGGTTTTGTGTTAGGTAAAAAGATAATTCCCCTTTTTTACCTTTAAACTTAAGAAAACCACGTATGGTTGCAGTTGGATAATAATACCTTGCATGGTTTGCATCATTAACTCATGATGTTGGAATCGTTTTGAAACGTGTGTTTGTGATCAGGTTCTCCATCCTTATCTTCGGTAAAAGATTACAACTTTTTTGTGATATGTGTTCACTAGATTTTGTGTTATATTTTGTATGTAGTTGGGTTTCTACAAGATGAAGTGGACTAGGGTTTAAAGCTTTGATCTTTGTTGTGATTACGATATGGTTTCATTAGTTTTTGTGTTAGGTTCTGTCTGTTGTTGGGATTCTAAAAGATGAAGTGGATCTGATGGTGTCTGTGATGAAAGCTAAGAAGGGGTCGTCTGCTGACATTGGAGGTTTAGAAGCTCAGTTTCAGGAGATTAAAGAAGCTGTTGAGTTGCCTCTAACTCATCCTGAGTTGTATGAAGATATTGGTATTAAACCGCTCAAGGGTGTGATTTTGTATGGTGAGCCAGGAACTGGGAAGACACTGCTTGCTATGGTTTGCTTTTCTACCTATAATATAGAAAGTATTAGCATCTGTTAGGAGTACTGCTTAGTGTCCTATTTAAGTTTCAATAACATTAAATGTTTTGTTGAGTTGAATCTAGAGTAGCCTGCCAAGGAGAGTCTCTCTGATTGCAACATAATTCTTTCTGTTATCTATCTGAAAAACAATTGTGAGGCTAGCTCTAAGCAGAAATATTTCAGACGGCCAAACCTTTATTGTGATGGTCACTTGGATTTTAGAAATTAAATTATAGCCAGAATAGAATAATGATATTTTGAATCATTTGGATTCGTTTACTGACTTTTTTTTATTTGTAATAAGTATGCAAGTGTTGTTTCAACGTGCATGTTATTATTTTAGTTTTGAACCATGTGGGAGTGAGCTGTTGCATCTTTGTTTTCTTTCAGGCGGTGGCTAACTCTACATCAACTACTTTCTTGAGAGTTGTTGGTAGTGAACTGATTCAGAAATATTTGGGAGATGGTCCCACGCTTGTGAGAGAGCTTTTTCAGAGTTGATGATGATCTTTGCTATCAATCGTTTTCATACATGAGATTAACATGCTTATTACCAAAAAAAAAGATTCCTGAAAAGTACAATCCGGCCACTTGGATGCTTGAAGCTAGCTCCCTTGCCGCCGAGTTGAAACTTGGAGTTGACTTTACTGAGCTATACAACAACTCTTCTTTATGCCAGTGAGTAACACAACAATATATCTATTAATCGGTACCGTCTTTTGGCAAATAGGAGGTAAGAGATCAAACGTACGAGAGCTGACGATGGTGTTAGAAGCAATCTACACAGCAGTGTTCAACAGTGCAACCAATGGTTGCAGTGGAGTGTACTGTGTTTTAACGAGAGAAAGCAGCAGGGATGTATTCAGCAATACCTTACGCCATCTCTCAAGTGACTTGTGAGATACCATATGTCTTTGTTCAGACCAAGTACTATTCACTTATCGTCTCCGCGATGGTCGGATTCGAGTGGAAAGCTTCAAGTTCTTATGGCTCCTCTTCATTAACTACTTCTCATTCCTCTACTGGACTTACTATGGCATGATGACTGTCTCACTCACACCTAACCAGCAAGTTGCTTCTATCTTCGCATCAGCCTTTTATGGTATTTTGAATCTATTCTCTGGCTTCTTCATCCCAACCCAAGATTCTTAAGTGGTGGATATGGTACTATTGGATCTGCCCTGTTGCTTGGACTGTATGCAGTTTGATCACCTCTCAGTATGTTGATGTTGGCACTCCCATCTCTCTCCCTGGGATAATTAATTGTCATTCTCACCTCATGTATACTTCATATTTGCTATCTTACTTCTTCGTACTAGAACCAGAAGATTTAACAAGGTAGTTCTCAAGTTTTTTATTTGTTTGTTATAAAAACTATTGGTTTGCGATGAATGCTTTTCTCTACGTGTTAGAGTGATGATGAAATATTGTTCTTTTACCTAAACATGAGCTTTTCTTTTTATAGTTCAATGGTAGGTAATGGTTTAAAGTAAAATTGAATTTGAATTATAAAACCAAAGCTGAAGTCTCATGTCTACATTAAACAAGTGCGGAGAAGATGAACCAGAAATAGAAACTATCGTGATTGATGGAGAAATGAAAATGAGTGAAATAATTGCCTACATTTTTGACATTAAACAATTATATTTTTAGCTGAGTTGCCAAAAATACAAGTTCTTAAATTTGTTTAAACAATTAAACAAATATTAATTTTATTTTACCAAAAATACAAGTTCTTAAATTTCTTTTATCAAAAAAGGAATCAAAACTTTGTATGTTATTTATGGAAAAAGACTGGCAAGTTGTCTACAAAATTACAATTTTTTTTCTTCTACGAAACACCATTACCAACCAAAGGTGTTATTTACCAACTTCACCTAATATAAGCGAAAGAAATAAGAATTATAGTTCTTACAACATATCAAGTCTTTACAAAATTCATTAGGCAACAAATTGGATCATTTTGAATAAACAACGACAATTTAAAATATTTCAATTTAATAATATAAATGATAAAGAGAATAATTTAACACCTAAAATTATTATATACTCCATTCATTTTATTTTAGTTTTCGGTCTAGGTCATACGCATAGATTATGAAAAATTTAATTTATTTATTTTAAAAATAAAAATAATTACATATACACCTAATCATATTTCAATCAATAGAAAAATTGCCAGGAGAATAATGTTAAGAAATTTTGCATTAAAATTTTAAATCGATATTTATCTTGAAACAAAAAATTTATTGTACAAATACAATCAAACTAAAACCGAGGAGGTCACATACTATCATTTTTTCTATATTATGCGGAAAATAAACTCATATTCAATTTCCTATGGGTTACTTCCATTTAAAATTCAATTTTTAGTGAATATACAACTATTCAAAAAATTAGAGTAACAATAATATGATGTCATATAATATTATAACATACTAAACCTTTGTTAAAGTTCTAAATGAAACAATTCATTCTCTAAATTTGGAAACATTTATGAATTTTATGATGTATTCTTACCGAATGAAATGAAACCAATACATCAAATATACAATAAAAACAATACAAGAAATATATGTAACATAAATTATAGTGTATAATAGAATATAATCCGCGCGTAGCGCGGAAAAGACCCTAGTTCCTGTAAAAACGATTGCCTGTTCAACAAAAATGAGTTCACAAAATCAATCAATATTCGTTGAAGAGAGACTTTGAAGAAATCAATTAATGAGAAAAGACTTGCAAGAATAAAAAGTAACCAACTAAAAGATTCTGATCAATTGCTTCTTCAAGGGATGAGGATTTTTTTTTTCATAAAATATTCCTTTTTCTTATTTATGAGCTTTGGCAAAAAAAAAAAAATTAGTTAAAAAGTTATTTAAGTTTTACTAAGAGAAAAAAGAAAAAAAAATTGTTATTAATGGAAATATATAATATATTTTTCTTTATCAAGGATAGCTATGTAATAAGCGTCGTGACACATAAAAAAGTGACTTCTCAAATATTATTATAAAAATTTGTAATAAATTATAATAAATTCTTTCATCTGTTGCAATATATTAAAACTATTGTTAGATTGTCCACTTTGAGTTTAATTTCGTATATATTTACTTTTGTTTTTTTTTCCCAAAAGTTTTATATTAATTAAAGTTAGACTTCTTTTTATATATTAGACTTTCTTTTGTTTAATTTTCGATGTGAGATTTAAATTGAGATTTTTCATTAGCGATAAAATTATCTATTTTAAGGATGGAGATACCATTTGAGTTTCAGCAGGTGCGGGTAGATGATTGTTTTTAGGAAGTAGTGTCCAATCACAAACAAGATTTTATCTCTTGGTTTAGCCTTTTCTCATTTATTTTACCTACTTTAAGTTTAAGAATTGTCTCTAATTACCTAAATCATAGATGTGTGTTTCACTTCTTGTGGTTAAACTTTATTGTAGGAAGAAAAGTAAAAGACTAAACTAGCCAACATGTCATTATAAATAGAAATTCATCTTAGGTTCAGTTCCTCACACAATACACATAACATACTTTCAAATTAAAAAAAAAAAGTGAAGAAGTAAAAAAGTAAAATATAGCATGGCTAAGTTTGCTTCCATCATCACCTTCCTCTTCGTTGTTCTTATTATCTTTTCTGTTTTTGGTAAGTATTGATTTTATTATACGCATGGAAAATTATATTATTTATTAAATTTCAGATGANTGGAAGGGCAGAAGTCATGCAAGAGGCAGCCTTTGTCAGGGAAAAAATTTTGTATGAAGGATGGTGATTGCCGGAAGATTTGCGTCGAAGCCGAGAAAGCAACACGTGCTACTTGCGATTATACATTCCCAAGGCGCATTTGTTACTGCCACTTTCCATGCAAAACACCAACACCATAGCCGTTCCAAGACATTTTTATTCCATATGCTAAATAAATATTACTACCGTAATATCGTGGAATAAAGTCCATTTCAATATTATTATAATAAGTTTTCTATATAATTGCAATTTATAACAATTTTAATAAATTATTTTTCTTTGATAAAAATCAATGATGTAAGAATACCAATAAATTTTATTAACCATATATTAACCATTTTAACACATATATTTCATAATTATGAAAAAATACAAATTAAAATGATAAACTATCATATATGAGTTGTTATATTATCTAGTTTTTATGGTAAATTCAGAAAATATTAAACTTGAAAATATTATATTATATTACTTAAATATAATATCAATTTATTTGTAAATTTTAATAAATGTTAATTATTAAGTTTAGTTTTGTACACAAATAATCAGCAATATATAACTAATTTCAAGACATTCTAAAATATAATTTCAGAATTTCATAAACAATTTAAAGAAATTTGTATGTTTATTTACTTTTATATTAATATAATATACTAATTAACAAAGTTAAGGGTCAAATCAAAATACATCTATAGCTACATATTCATATTTTGATAAAGATGAAAATCATGTAAACTAAAATCAAATATTATATTATTTGTTATAATAAACTATAAAAAGAAACTAATACATAACAGAATATGACGCCACATATTCTATAAAAAAATGTTTGCTAGTTAAATTAAGAGACCGAAAATGATACAGACCATGGCAAAATTGTCAAGATTATAAAACGCCAAGCCAAAACGAAATTAGTATAACCCAATGGTGTAGAATTCTCAACATGCAAGCGACGAGAGGGAGAAGATCCGTAGATGGAACAGCAATTGATAGTGAGGCGATTTAACTTGCAGATCAGGAGAACACGGCGAACTGTGATTCGCATGAGTGATGTCTTGCATATTTCCATTGTTTTATCCATTCATCTATATGCATTTTTATAATATAGACTAGGATTTAGTCATTTTTAGGTTGCATTTTGCATACATGAGTTCTTATCAGGTATTGAAGTATCCTTGGAGTTCTTGAAAGTGATTGTATGCATTTGAGGCCCATAAGAGGAGTTAGAAGTGATCATTGGACGAGCAGAGTTGGGAGCGACGTGCCAGAGCGACCCCATGATGTCGCTCCCACCTTCAGAGCGACGCTCCCTAGTGCAAGTTGCCAGAGCGATCTACCAAGGTCGCTCCCAAGCCAGAGCGACATGCTCACAGCGACGTACCTAGGTCGCTCGCCTTATTATCGATTTCAGAAGCCGAAATAGCCCTTGGAGCGACGTCTTGGAGCGATGACCCTAGGTCGCTCCAAGCCAGAGCGACTTCCCGGAGCTACGTGGCCAGGTTGCTGCGTATTTTTGTTTGGACAAAACTTATGTTATTTTAGGGACCTTTTGGTCATTTGTTTCATGGTTTTACATTTCCAAAACCTAAGTTCAGTACTCATGTAAGCCTACCAAGCAGATCTATCTTTGATTTTTGAAGGGAAAACACAAAAACCTCTTGGAAAGTTCATTTCTTTGAGTCATTCTTCTTGTTCTTGTGATCTTGTTTTGTTTCATTGCATATTCTACTCATCTTACATGATTAAGCTTGAATCCAATATGGGTTTAAGAGGAATCATGAAGATTAGTGAGTAATCCACCTTTGAATTCATGGGATAGAGAGATTTAAGGGTGATTAGGCTAGAACTAGGATGGTTACTGTAGATTTTTCTTATTCCTTTCTAGTAGAGTATTCGTAATGCATCTTTTGAGTTGGCCTCTCAAAGGTTGAGCTTTAGGCATTTCCCACCTCACAAGATGTTCGAAGAAATGCCTGAGCCAACTCTCTTAAGCTTTTAACATACTTTACCAAAGACATCTGTTGTTAAAGGTGTTAAGACGGCTGATAGACTTGTTCTTAAGGATTACTTCTATACCATTCAACCGAAGACATTTGATGTTTAAGTTATGTTAGTAAATGAGCATTCATCTAGATATAGAGTTTGCTTAGAGATGTGTCTAGGCTTAAGGTTGATAGTTTAATTGATCATTTGCCATCCTTAGTTCGAAGTTTGATCACCCAAGATCTAATCCCTACTCGCATGAGTTCTCTCTTCTCTTAATCAAAAGAAGTTATTTTAATTATCGCTTTTCTTATTATGTTATTGCATTCTAGTATTAGTCATAGTTTAAAACCATCTGATTATTCGATCGCACTTAGATTAAGTGAGTACATGTATTCTCAGTGCTTTGAAATCCCTTAGAATTGGTTCGACAATCATTTATACTACAACATTTGTCTTTAAGAGTCTTGAAAACTCCTAACTTCAGTGAGAAGCATCAAGCAATGTAAGCTTCAGTACCCGACATATATCCAATTATGAATTATAGTTATCCACTTATATTATATGCTTTTGATTTGATCTGTTCTAGTATGTTCTTAGAGAATAGCTTGAATCATCTGTTAGTGTTTCATTTGCTTAGTTCGACTTCCGATTATGTATTGTGGATTTTGGTACGAAAAACAATACTTGATTGATGTGCGGTCTTTGTTAATTGTTTGTTGAGTTTTCATAAAGGATTATATCTGTGGTTGTGTCTTTATAAAAAAGTAAACACCATAAATATCATCCCACTAAATCTTTTCCGCTTTCAAATGGATACAAAAAAAACTAGGTAACGTTAACCTGCGACTGCGATATTATTGTTGAACAGTGTGCTGTTTAACGAAACAAAACGACGTGATTAGCTACTGTCTTGTTGGGCTGGGTTGGGGTGGGCTGCTAAACGAAAAGCACGGTATATCAGATAGCTATGAACCGGATATTACAATCAAACCGGTTATGAATTAATCGGTGTACTTAGGCGCTAGTCGGATTACCTGGATTATAAAAAAAAAAAATCAAAAAAAATTTGAAACATGTGAAATTAGATGATGAGTTAATTTTTTAAAAATATTTTATTATTAATCATTTGATAAAAAAATTCATAATAAAATAATATGATCTTATATAAAAAGAATGACTAAATTATATTATTTTTTCAATTTTTGTGAAGTTTTTTAATATACATTTTTAAATGCAATTTAAAATTTCTAGATATTTTATTTTTGTTTATGTTTTCGGGAGAAAATTAAAAAGTAATAAAATTTAAACTCGTTTATCAATAAAAACTCTAAGTTATATTTTATAAAATATTCCTTTTTCTTATTTATGAGCTTTGGAAAAAAAGAAAATTTAGTTAAAAAGTTATTTAAGTTTTATTAAGAGAAAAAAAGAAATAAAAATAATTGTTATTAATGGAAATATATAATATATTTTTCTTGATCAAGGATAGCTATATAATAACTGTCGTGACATATAAAAAATGACTTCTCAAATGAAATATTATAAAAAAATTTAATAAATTAAATTAAATTTTTCTCATCTGTTGCGATATATTAAAACTATTGCTAGATTGTCCACTTTGAGTTTAAAAGGCAAATTTCGTATATATTTACTTTTTTTTGTTCCGAAAAGTTTTATACTAATTAGAGTTAGACTTCTTTTTATATATTATACTTTCTTTTATTTAATTTTCGATGTGAGATTTGAATTGAGATTTTTCAGTAGCAATAAGACTATCTATTTTAAGGATGGAGATACCATTTGAGTTTCAGTAGCTGCGGGTAGATGATTGTTTTTAGGAAGTAGTGTCCAATCACAAACAAGATTTTATCTCTTGGTTTAGCCTTTTCTCATTTATTTTACCTACGTTAAGTTTAAGAATTGTCTCTAATTACCTAAATCATAGATGTGTGTTTCACTTCTTGTGGTTAAACTTTATTGTAGGATGAAAAGTAAAAGACTAAACTAGCCAACGTGTCATTATAAATAGAAATTAAGCTTAGGCTCATTCCTCATACAATACACATAACATATCTTCAAATTAAAAAAAAAAAAGAAAAGTGAAGAAGTAAAAAAAGTAAAATATAGCATGGCTAAGTTTGCTTCCATCATCACCTTCCTCTTCGTTGTTCTTATTATCTTTTCTGTTTTTGGTAAGTATTGATTTTATTATACACATGGTAAATTATATTATTTATTAAATTTCAGATTATTTGATAATCAACTCTGACATATTTATGCATATATATAATATATATATAAAGAAGCACCGACGATTGTGGAAGGACAGAAGTCATGCAAGAGGCAGCCTTTGTCAGGGAGAAAATTTTGTATGAAGGATGGTGATTGCCGGAAGATTTGCGTCGAAGCTGAGAAAGCAACTCGTGCTACTTGCGATTATACATTCCCAAGGCGCATTTGTTACTGCCACTTTCCATGTTAATGAACAGAGCCGTTCCAAGACATTTTTATGCCATATACCAAATAAATATTACTACCGCAATATCGTGGAATAAAGTCCATTTCAATATTATTATAATAAGTTTTCTATATGATTGAAATTTATAACAATTTTGATAAATTAATTTTTTGATAAAAATCAATGATGTAAGAATACCATAAAATTTTATTACAAAGTGCTATTTAGGAGAATTGCCCATATATTAACCATTTTAACACATATATTTCATAATTATGAAAAAATACAAATTAAAACGATAAACTATCATATGAGTTGTGATATTATCTAGTTTATATGGTAAATTCAGAAAATATTAAAATTTAAAATATTATATTTATTACTTAAATATAATATCAATTTATTTGTAAATTTTAATAAATGTTAATTATTAAGTTTAGTTTTGTACAAAAATAATCAGCAATTTATAACTAATTTCAAGACATTCTAAAATATAATTTCAGAATTTCATTAACAATTTAAAGAAATTTGTATGTTTATTTACTTTTATATTAATATAATATACTTTTTTAACGACAATCATAATTATAAGAAAAGGGGGGGGGGGGTTTAAGCCCAAGGCCACGAAGAGTACATATTGTAGAGAGAGGCTTTTGCTAAACATATAATATACTAACTAACAAATTTAAGGGTCTAATCAAAATACATCTATAGCTACATATTCATATTCTGATAAAGATGAAAATCATGTAAACTAAATTCAAATATTATATTATTCATTATAACAAACTACAAAAAGAAACTAATACATAACAGAATATGAAGCCACATATTCTATAAAAAAAGCTTGCTAGTTAAATTAAGAGACCAAAAATGATACAGGCCATGGCATAATTGTCAAGATTATAAAATGCCAAGCGAAAAAGAAAGTAGTATAACCCAATGGGGTAGAATTCTCAACATGCAAGCCCCGAGAGGGAGAAGATCCGTAGATGGAACAGCAATTGATAGTGAGGCGATTCAACTTGCAGATCAGGAGAACACGGCGAACAGTGATTCGCATGAGAAGCAGCAAGCAAGGTAAGCTTCAGTACCCGAAAAACATCCAATTATAATTATCCACTTATACTATATGCTTTTAATTTGCTCGGTTCTCGTAGGTTCTTAGAGAATAGCTTGAATCATCTGTTAATGTTTCATCTGCCCAGTTCGAATTCCGACTATGTATTGTGGATTTTTGTTTGAAAAACAATACTTGATTGATGTGCGGTCTTTGTTAATTATTTGTTGAGTTTTCATAAAGGATTATATCTATGGTTGTGTCTTTATAAAAAAGTAAACACGATAAATCTCAGCCCGCTAAATCTTTTCTGCTTTCAAATGGATACAAAAAAAAACTAGGTAACGTCAACCTGCGACTGCGATATTATTGTCGAACAGTGTGCCGTTTAACGAAACAAAACGACGTGATTAGCTACTGTCGTGTTGGACTGAGCTGGGCTGGGCTGCCAAACGAAAAGCGTGGTATATCAGATAGCTATGAACCGTATATTACAATCAAACCGGTTATGAATTAATCGGTGTACTTAAGCGCTAGTCGGGTACCCTCCGGAGTGTCCAGATTACCTGGGTTATAAATAAATCAAAAAAAAATTGAAACATGTGAAATTAGATGATGAGTTAATTTTTAAAAAAATATTATTAATCATTTGATAAAAAATCATAATAAAAATATGAGATTATATAAAAAGAATGACTAAATTATTATTTTTTCAATTTTTGTGAAGTTCTTTTAATATACATTTTTAAATATATTTTAAAATTTCTAGATATTTTATTTTGTTTTTGGGGAAATTAAAAGGTAATAAAATTTAAACTCGTTAAAAAGTTATTTAAATTTAGTTATGAGTTTTGGAAAAAAATAAATTTAGTTAAAAAGTTATTTAGATTTTGTTAAGAGTAAGAAAAAGAAATAAAAATAATTTTTATTAATGGAAATATATAATATATTTTTCTTTATCAAGGATAGCTATGTAATAACTGTCCTGACTCGTAAGAAATTGAATTCTCAAATAATATTATAAAATTTTGTAATTAATTAAATTAAATTCTTTCATCTGTTGAGATATATTAAAACTATTGGTAAATTGTCTACTTTGAGTTTAAAAGGCAAATTCCGTATCTATTTACTTTTGATTTTCTTTCCAAAAAGTTTTATACTATTTAGAGTTAAACTTTTTCTAATATATTAAACTTTCTTTTGTTTAATTTTTTTATGTGAAATTTAAAATTGAGACTTTTCATTAGGGATAAAACTATCTATTTTAAGGATGGAGATACCATTTGAGTCTCAGCAGCTGGGGGTAGATTATTGTTTTTAGGAAGTAGTGTCCAATCACAAACAAGATTTTATCTCTTGGTTTAGCCTTTTCTCATTTATTTTACTTACTTTAAGTTTAAAAATTGTCTCTAATTACCTAAATCATAGATGTGTGTTTCAATTCTTGTGGTTTAACTTTATTGTATGATGAAAAGTAAAAGACTAAACTAGCCATCGTGTCATTATAAATAGAAATTCATTTTAGGCTCAGTTCTTCATACAATACACATAACATACCTTCAAATTAAAAAAAAAAAGTGAAGAAGTAAAAAGTGAAATATAGCATGGCTAAGTTTGCTTCCATCATCACCTTCCTCTTCGTTATTCTTATTATTTTTTCTGCTTTTGGTAAGTATTGATTTTATTATACACATTGCAAATTATATTATTTATTAAATTTCAAATTATTTGATAAACAACCCTGACATATTTGTGCATATATAATATATATATATATAAAGAAACACCAACGATTGTGGAAGGACAGAAGAAGTCATGTGAGAGGCAGCCTAAGTCAGGGAGAATACATTGTGTGAAGGCAAGTGATTGCCAGAAGATTTGCCGCTCCGAGAAAGCAACACGTGCTACTTGCGAATTTTGGGGCATTTGTCACTGCCACTTTCCATTTCCATGTTAATCAACAGAGCCGTTCCAAGACATTTGTATGCCATATGCCAAATAAATATTACTACCACAATATCGTTGTATAAAGTTCATTTCAATATTATTATAATAAGTTTTCTATATAATTGAAATTTATAATAATTTTGATAAATTATTTTTTTTTGATAAAAATCAATGAGGTAAGAATACCATTAAATTTTATTACAAAGGTCTATTTGGGAGAATTTCCCATATTATAACCATTTAACACATATATTTCATAATTATGAAAAACTACAAACTAAAAAGATAAACTATCATATATGAGTTGTGATACTATCTAGTATTTATGGTAAATTCAGAAAATACTAAAATTGAAAATATTACATTATATTACTTAAATATAATATTAATTTATTTGTAAATTTAATAAATATTAATTATTAAGTTTAGTTTTGTACACAAATAATCAGCAATATTCAATTTCAAGACATTCTAAAATATAATTTCAGATTTTCATAAACAATTTAAAGAAATTTGTATGTTTATTTACTTTTATATTAATAAAATATACTAATTAACAAAGTTAAAGGTCTAATCAAAGTACATCTATAGCTACATATTCATATTCTAATAAAGATGAAAATCATGTGAAATCAAATATTATATTATTAATTATAACAGACTATAAAAAATGCTTGCTAGTTAAAAAGAAACTAATACATAACAGAATATGAAGCCACATATTCTATAAAAAAATGTTTGCTAGTTAAATTAAGAGACCGAAAATGATACAGACCATGGCATAATTGTCAAGATTATAAAGCGCCAAGCGAAAAAAAAATTAGTATTAAGAGTTTTGGAAAAAAAGAAAATTTAGTTAAAAAGTTATTTAATTTTTATTAAGAGTAAGAAAAAAAATACAAACAATTATTACTAATGGAAATATATAATATATTTTTCTTTATCAACGATAGCTATGTAATAACTGTCCTGGCACATAAGAAAATGACTTCTCAAATAATATTATAAAAATTTGTAATAAATTAAAATCAATCTTTCATCTATTGAGATATATTAAAACTATTGGTAGATTCTCCACTTTGAGTTTAAAAGACAAATTCCGTATAGATTTATTTTTGGTTTTTTTTCCAAAAATTTTTATACTAATTAGAGTTAAACTTTCCTTTTATATATTAGAAATTAAAAGGTTGTAAAATTTAAACTCGTTTATCAATAAAAATATAAGTTTATATTTTATAAAATATTCCATTTCTTATTTATGAACTTTGGAAAAAATAAAATTTAGTTAAAAGATTATTTAAATTTTATTAAGAGTAAGAAAAAAAGAAATACAAATAATTGTTATTAATGGAAGTATATAATATATTTTTATTTATCAAGGATAGCTATGTAATAACCGTCATGGCACATAAGAAAGTGACTTATCAAATAATATTATAAAAATTTGTAATAAATTAAATTAAATTCTTTCATCTGTTGAGATATATTAAAACTATTGGTAGATTGTCCGCTCTGAGTTTAAAAGACAAATTCCGTATAGATATACTTTTGGTTTTCTTTCCAAAAAGTATTATACTAATTAGGGTTAAACTTCTTTTTATATATTAGACTTTCTTTTGTTTAATTTTCGATGTGTGATTTAAATTGAGATTTTTCATTAGCGATAAAACTATCTATTTTAAGGATGGAGATACCATTTGAGTTTCAGTAGCTGCGGGTAGATGATGTTTTTTAGGAAGTAATGTCCAATCACAAACAAGATTTTACCTTTTGGTTTAGCCTTTTCTCATTTATTTTACCTACTTTAAGTTTAAGAATTGTCTCTAATTACCTAAATCAGGGATGTGTGTTTCAGTTCTTGTGGTTAAACTTTATTGTAGGATGAAAAGTAAAAGACTAACTAGCCATCATGTCATTATAAATAGAAATTCATCTTAGGATCAGTTCCTCATACAATACACATAACATACCTTTAAATTAAAAAAAAAAAAAAGTGAAGAAGTAAAAAAGGAAAATA